CACGCGCGCTTGCATCGACCGTATCATCGGCAGCAGAGCATCCCCCATCGAGAGTTCCTCGACCCGGGTGGCGAGGTGAACCTTGAGGGCGTAAAACTCGGGTATGCCCAAACAGCCTGTGGGTCCGTCACCCTCCATGCGTTTCGTAAGAGACAAGAAAGGCTTCATATATAAATAAGATAGATGTCAGCTCATTTTCAAAATCGATGAATTGAATGCAAGATAGGAAAATATTCACAGCGAGTTCGGTGGTCAGCTCCTCAAGAGCACTCCAGTCATCTGGAGTGAAGAATACCTCATGGAAGTATCCGCGCGGCTTTTTGCTGCCCTTTCGTTTTTTCTTACCCTTGAGAAGCTCGAGGTCGTCGGCTAAAAGCTTGTTGACCACCTGTAATCATACAAAACGTCAGTCAAGATAGAGATATACATACTTGTTAATGATAATATACAAGCCACTCACTTTACGTGCCAGCACCAACCTATTAAGTGAATCGAATTCTGAATTCCAACGAGTAGCGTTGTAACCCGGGGTCAAAGGCAAAAGCTTCAGGTTCATGCTTTTTGCTATCCGTGAAAAGTGTCGCCTCCAAGCTGCAGACCGAGCGACTCGACGTGATACGAAATTGGCCTATCACAGATTTACATGAAATTGAAACAAAGATATCAGATATCGACAATGAGATCATAGAGTAGAAGATTTGATTACCTTGCTGATCAATCCATTCAATCGATTTGCGTGTTTTCGCAAAGCACTTGTGTGGTACTTACTACCAACTGAGTTTTCAACAACATTTTCACATGTTCTTTCGACACAGTCCTCTTGAGTTTCAATGTCTTCATCATAGTCTGGAGCTCCATCTATCATTTCCTCGCCTTCTGAGTCATGATCGGTGTCCACTTTGTCAGGAGCTTGGTGATCGACTTTGACATCAATCATGATTGGGGCCGATGAATCCTGATCATCTTCATCCTCCTCAGCAATGACCGGAAGTGTCGACGAGAAAGGAAATACTCCGAGAAAATCCTCTCGCTCCTGGGCCCGTGAGGGAGTCGTTCGACCGAGATCCTCCAAACCACCTTTGACGGTGGAAGAAACTTTGTGCAGAAAGCACCGGGCGTAGTCGGTATTTTGGATTCCAAGTATAACAAGCTTCATTTGGCAAAGCGTCTTCTGATTCAAGTCTTTGTTCCTTGTGTAGCAAAAATTGGGTGTGCATTTCGTTTGCCATCGTGATGTTGTTTGAGCCAGAGTATGTTACCTGGGCAAGCATGTAAATTCGGTTAAAATAAAAGGTAAGTACATGGAAAATCAATTGATATGTTATCGAATAAAAGACTCATCTTATATTGGAGTTGATGTTTTTTCATGAAGTGCACCAAGGGCTGTGCAAGCCATACACCCTTGTGATGCCAGGCAATAAGCTTCAACGTTAGATGCCGAACCTGGTAATTCCAATCCTCGTCAATGAAGGTTACCGCGGCTCCTAAGAAAGCGTGTATGTTGTTATGTGTCGTCCATCCATCGTGTATCAATGTGAATTTGCCGGTGTTGTTCTATTGGCCAATATAGAAAGAATAAAACAACTTTAATATCTAAAAACTTCCAAAGCAGTGACTGCAGTGACTCACTTTGATTTCGTTTAAAACTGTATCTTGAAATGAAGCATACATGCCAGCAGCTTCTCTGGCTACCCAAGTGCGTCCAAATACTTTTGCATCACGTCGAGCATACCTAAAAGCCAGTCTGAGTAATGAATCCTCGATACGATTCCAAGGCAAGGCTTCTGCAAGGATCCATACAGCCAGGATCTGGTTGAGGACCTCGTTCTTGAAGGGGAGCTTGCTGTTGAAAAAGTCGGGCATCTCTTGTTGTCCCGCGGAACTCGAAGCAGCTGCTTCGAGTTCAAAACAAGTTGGAGGAAGAATGATCCCACTATCGATAGCATCTTGCCGATTTTTACACGGATATCGATTACGACCTTTGTTGTATCCATTGCGGTGGATCTTGAGGTTGCCCAAAGAGTCCGGGACGACACGGACTATCATAGGACACCAAAGACATGGGTAACTCATTTTCTTCCCAACCCTAGCCTGTGAAAAATGAGAGTGAGAGTCATTAAAATGTTTTGAAAAAAAAGATCGGAATCACAAAATGATCAAGATGATCAATTTGCTTCTTACCTCGCCCTTCTTGTAATTGGCGGGTCCAAAGTATTCTCTGGGATGAGGGTAAACAGGCGCTTCCTCGTTGTCGACCTCCAGGACCTTGGCTCGTTTGGCTTTCTGACGATCGTTGAGGCCATCATCTGAGTCCTGATTCATTTCGGTTTCAGATGGTAGGTCATCTTGAGGCGGCTATACAAAGCAACCAAATCATTCACAATAGCCAATGATTATTGAGACGAGGATTGATTTAATTCTTGCTCACCTGACAAGACTTGGAAGCATCTTTTTTGCGCTTCTTACTGGGTCCCGCTTCTTCTGTTTGTTCGGCCGGCTTTGAGGCTTTCTTCTTTCTCGCAGGTGGTTTGGAACCGCTGGCTTTTGGGAGAGCAATTGTAATTCGGCTATCAGAGGATGGCTGCAGCATTCCTGGTTGACTCTTACGGGGTGTCGGTGGTCTGACAGAGCGGCGGAGAGGGGTTGCGAGGTGGGTCGACGACACTTGAGATTGAGATTGTGGGCTGCCAGATTCGCTAGCCATTACGAGTGAGAACAAGACAAGTGAGAAGTTGAAATAATAATTAAAAGCAAGTCTAAAAGGAATTAGGAGTGAAAAGAAGACGAGTGATAAGTTAAGATAAGAATTAGAAGTAAGTCTAAAAGGAAAGGGAAAATGATAATTATCAATTCGAGTTGAGTGAGTTGAAGTAAGCAATTGATGGAAACTGGATGAACGATTAAAACATAAAGATGACCTTGAAGTTGAAGTGGAAGGGTGTGTTTTTAAGTGCTTGAGCTTGATGGGGCCAGTTGAGTATCGGAAAGGTATGCTGAAACAGGCCATTGCGTTGTGGGTTGTGCGTGTGAGGGATCCAGCGAAATAATTTTTGAACTAATGCCTGATGGAAGACACTTGTGGAAGCAGGGAGGGTTCAGGGATATCTGATGCAGATATCCCTGTGGGCGAGCTGCCGGGGCCAAACCTGTTGCGGGGCTGCGGTGCTCACAACGGGTGGTGAACCGCAACGCAACGGCGTCAAATCCTGGCCCCATACGGGCAACGCACCGGGCAAAGGCCTGACCCGTTGCGTTCCGTTGCTTTGCGCTCCCGTTGCCGTTGCTTGGCGTTGCGGTACGTTGCTCAGTCACAGCAACGCACCGGCCCAACGTTGCTTATATCCACATGTAACAACCTCTACAATAGTCAACAGCCTCAAAAACCAGCCAAATACGCCTAAAGAACCCTAAAAACCATATAATGACGCAATGTGATGATCTTGTTACTAATGTATGATGTAATTTTCACAGCCAAAAGTGATCAATGACGCAATGATTCAATGTACAGCACTTCTTAAGATGAATACAGGTGATTTTTTCCTGGTAAACTAGCTGCAAACCAATTCTTTTAGATTACGAGTTTTTTCAGATGGGGTCCAATTTTGAACTACTATAGCGCATCTTGCAGCCCTCGTGATACTGATCATTTATGACACCCATATCAACCCTGGGCCAGCAACGCAAGTGTTGCATGCTGCGCTGCGCTTGCGTTGTGGTTTTTCTGACCGCACCACACCGTAAAATCCATTTTGAAGTTGCGGCCTGACCCGCTGCGCAACAAGATGTGTCCAATTTTGAGTTTTTTTGGGCCGCAACAACATTTGTTGCGTTACTGCCCAAAAAAACTTGAAATTTGACGGTTTTTTGGCGCTGTTGCGCCTTTTGCATTGCGTGGCGGTCAGCTGGCCACGCAACCCAGGCTAACGTTTTGTTGTTGTGGTACTTATCGCAACGCAGCGTCTGCTGCTGGGCTTTGTTGTGTGTTGCGGAGCAACGCACCAAAAAACACGCTTTCTGTGGTGTGGTGCGTTGCTGGCACAGGGTTGCCCATATGACCTATTTCTGATGAGTGATGAGTAAGATATTGAGTTGTGAAGTTAAGGTTTTTGGTGTTACATGTTGACTTGTGACTGTAAATTTGAGATTCACACCAATTTCTTATTTACCTTAAAATGTTTTACATAAACCTCTGCTACTAGTGATTTAAAGTTTGTACATTATGTCATCCACTCTTCTGCGTTGAATGAGCTATTTACCAACCTAATATGACGTCATTTGACATATGTAATTAGCTGAAAACCTTCATTTTTCACGAAATTCACCCATTTTCTTCACTTTTCACAGCTGCTACTCTCTTTTTCTTGCTCATGTAATATGACATCATCTTCTATAACCTTAAAAATCCCGGAAAATCCTCTTGGCAACCTTAATTTCCACTACTACCACCATTACATATGTAAACTACACGTATAACCCTTGTTTACCATCCTCAAAAAAGTACCTTTCTGCTAATAACTTCTGTTTTCTCTTATCAACCACCAAGATTAAAGTTGTTGCTGTATAATAAAATTTTTCTCTTTCATATTCTAACCTCATAAATCCCATAACTTTATTATTAATACCCTAAAAACCATTTTCCAACCTTTACACCTATATTTTTGATTTTTTCTTATGTTTTTTCTTTCTTTCTTTTTGTAATCTGTTTGTAAGTAAAATATAATGATCTTAAGAATATATTTGAAATGAGCTGATATAATCTTGAGCCAATAAATACACATAAGCCTCTAAGAGCTTCAATTGATCTAAAAACCTCCATTTCCAATTTTCTACTACACTGAAGTTTTCTAATAACTTGATAAAGTAATAATGATTAATTTTCTTGATTGATCCCATAAATAGAGCACCACACTGCTTGGTATCCAATGGTGAAAAATTGTTAGTATCCAGTTTGGACCACGCTTTAATAGCTGTGGTGAAACCTGCAAGGGTTGGGGTGGAGGTAAAAGTGCTTGGCAAAGCTTGTTTTGCCAAGTTGTTAGCAATTTTATCCACTACTTTGTTACCTTTAACTCCGCAATGACCTGGGCACCATTGGAGGGTGACTCAGGCTAGTGGAAAAGCTTGGTTCAAGTATGATATTATCTTGAAGGTTTCTTTCCTGTCAAGAAGCGAGGCGATGTTTGGTGGATAGTTGCATACACTACACCAAATGTAATCTTTACCGGGCGGTAAAGAAAACTACTGACATAGAAAAGTCCTGAGGCAACAGGAAGAGAGCTAAAAATCTGAAAAAATATGCACCTTGTTCCTAGATGTTGGGGCGTCATGATGAGTATTTTTTTGTATTTTACACGCAGATATTGGTTTATGTACTAACAATAAACGCTGAAAATCATCAAAAACTCACATGTAACAATACCTGAAATTTGGGTCATGAGTATGAAGACAATAGCGGTACACAAACCTGAGACCCATCACGAAAACCCATCAAAAAAACCCATGAAAACCCTTCTGATTTTAGGGTTTTTGGCACGGGTTTTTTTCATGGGTAATAAGCTTGGTCCGCTCTTATACCCACTTGAAAAAAATTTATTGAGTTGTACATAAGTATGGAAGTATGGACTCAACTACTTCTTCCTCACCACCGCAACAAGGCCACATTCTCCCACAGAACACACCCACACCAACTCCGACAAACTCTCAGGCTGATCAATTAGCAACTCCTTTCCCAGTACCAACCCTTTCCCCAGAGGCTTGGTTACATCTTCACCACATCAATCCTGTCACATCGTCTCTTGTTTCACTACGAGCCAACATACCAGTAACACCTCAGGCCTCTCCAAAACAACCTGATTCACTGATGATCACTCCTGAGCCACCTAAGAAAAGAGGACGACCTCGAAAGCCATCAGCAGCACCACCTTCTCAACCAAAAGCTCCCCGAAAATCCAAATTGATTCAACCATCTCAACCGGTTTCTGCTCCAACTAAAACTGAAACTTCTCAAAATGAAACTGCATGTGAATCTCAAGATGATACTCGAGACGATGAGAGCAAAGAGTTGGAGGCCAACGAATCAAAAAAATGCTGGTTTACCCCTGACACCGATGGCAAATCCGACATCGATCTTGTGGCCGATTGGTGCAGCGTTTTCGAGAACTACAACGCATGGCGCACACAAAAGCAGGTGGTTGTTCGCGAGAGGGTTGCAGCATTCATTGTACAAATGGGTCATACGCCAAGATCAGGTCGAGAGTGTGAAAAAAAGGTAAGTGTCAATCACCGGAGTACAAAAAATTCAAGTTCCGTTTTTACTAACTTTGAGTTAAATACACAGATTAAAAAACTTGAGGGTTGGTTTCAGAAAGCTGATGGACTCCGAAAGGCCACGGGCGAGGGGAATGATTCCGATGAACTCTTCCACTTCACCGTGTCAAAGGCCGAGGTTGACTCTTTCAAATTGGCTATGAGGCGAAAGAAAGAAGAGCCTGGTGGTGGCAGTCTTCAAGGTACACACTCTCGATGTTTCATTTGGTTGGTTGATATAAACTCACTGACTGTATGTATTTAACAGTCAGGATTTTACGCGAGTGTCCTTGGTATGAAGAACTCGAGCCAGTATTTCGAGATCGTCCATCTGCACGTCCTTTGGCCACAAAGGACTCACTCGGTAATCAAGTACACCGCTCAAAGCCTCTAACTGAATCAACCAACGAGAACACCTCTAGTCCGACCGAAAGCACCTTGCCTTATACGGTATTGGACGACACTCCACCTCACCAAGAGCGCGAATTTTCGATCGACCCTGGTTTGGCCGATGAAAACACGTCATCTCAAGAACGTGGAACACCCGGTATCTCAGCTTCCACAAGATCGGTCCGACATGCCACGCCTTTGGTTGGTTCCAACAAGCGTCTCCGTGTTAAGGAGTCACCGAGCGCTTTTGAGGTCAAAAGCAAAGAGTCACCTCAAAACTCATTGAATATGAGTGCCCTATTCAATCGTCTCCCCACCAGAGAAGAACGAGAGGCAAGTGAAAGTCGAGCGGCGTTAGCTCAACAAAATATCAGCCTTAACATAACCAACGCAATGTCCAACATGATCACTTCAAATCGAGCAAATGAATTGGCAACCAAACAAACTATTGCACTCGCGGAGATGAATGTGCAATTGCGCCTGGCTCGCGGCAACTTGATTATGGAACTTTTACGAGGGGGAATGGATCCTGAGGCAGCAGAGGCCTTTGCTGCGCGCCAGTTACCCGATGTCGAGTCCTCACAGTCGCTCCAATCCGGATCACAATCTCATCAGGCTAGTGGAAT